AGGGAAAATGGCCCCCCCCCCCCCCGATAACATTCCTGGAGCTCAGGGAACCATTGGAGGTGCTGTGCCCGGATGCAGCCGTCCAGTCTCACCCCCTGCTCAGGCACATGGGGCTGCGAGGACAAGGCTGTGACCCAAGGGAGCAGGCCAGCAGCACAGCTGGTGCCAAAAATGAACATTTGGTGATGCTCTGGTCTGCGCCCCCACGGAAAGAGACGGGGTGAGACCAAGCAGCGGAGCTGGGCATCACCAAAGTGGCAAGGGGAGCTCAGAGAGCAGCCTGAGCCCCAAAGCCCAGCCCAAATTCATGCCCAGGCCTGTGTTTCTTATTTTTTAAGGCAGTGGTCTGGGGTACATGAAGCAGCGTCTCCCTAAGCCGGCTGCAGCTCAGGGGCTTTGGCTCATTTCTGGTTCCTGCTGCTGGCGCAGCGCTCGCGTTTCAGTCCCTAGAGCCTGGTTTTGCTCATTGAATGACACCATTTGGGGATAAAAGTGTAAATTGCTGGCTCTCAGAGTGTCTCGGGGTGTTTCTGAGCGGGAGCGGTGGATCGTCTTGGGGACAGGGAGCCCCGGCTCATCACGCCTTGTCACCCACACCAGCACCCCCTGCTCCTGGGGCCGGGCTGCAGGGGCTGCCGCTGCGGCCCCCCAGCTGGGAGCAGCCCCCAAACGGCTCTGCCGCTCCAGCTCTCCCTCTCTATTGAAATCTCAGCTCTAGACGTCTGATTTCCATTTTCCCCCCGTACTTTTAGTTCAATCAAAGTGTGTGATTAGGGCTCTGCGGGCTCCATTGTCATCTCTACCTAAGTGCTTCTCTGATTGATATAAACAGCATTTCGATATTTACGCTGCGGAACGCGCCGCTCTGCTTACTTCCCTGCATAATGCGCAAAAATCAGCCATTGTGGGGAGGAAAAATAGCCAAAAAAATAAAAAAGCAGTCCCCCGCGGGCAGGTGCGGGGCAGGGAGGGTCCCTCCCTGATGGGACAGGGCTGTGGCCCATCAGCTAATGAGGAACACCTTGGTCTGTCCCATCAGCGGGGTGAGCAGCACCTGGGGAGGTTTTAAAGGGCAGAGGGCTGGGGGGGGCCTGGGCATCCATAGTGCTCGTGCTTTGGGCTCTGGGTGGCCTTGGCTGCTGGTGTGGCTTGTGCCAGTGCTTGGGAGCCTGTTTGTCAGCACCTGGCTTGTGCCTTGGGTGTGGGATCAACCCCGGGATCGACTGGGGTTTCATCCTCCACAGCCCTGGGGCTGGTCCTGGGCTCTGCACCCCCCGACCAGCTCCAGCCCCCCCTGGACCTTCCCACCCTCCTGCTGCTCCTCGCCCACCGGAGAGAGGTAAGGGAGGCACCCGGGCACTGGCATGGAGGGATGGGAGACGCGCTTTGAGGGTGGGAACAAAAGCAGCTTTTTCTCTATTTTATGTGCTTTTGACTGGACTGAGCTGGAGATGCTCCCCCCCACCCCTTTGTGTTTGTGGGAATATGGGTAAAGAAAGCACCTGAAAAGCAAATATTTTTAGTCTTTGATACTTCTTGGAGAAGGGAGAGACTGTTCTTTTGTGGAAAGCGCTAGTTGTTTGTAAGAAGTGGAGGCAATTGTGCTTTTAAAGGAGAAAATGCAGTTATTTTCTGAAACACGGCAGCTCTTTGGGGGCTTTTTGCAAACTCCTCGGGGTTCTCTTGCCGGCTTCCTCGGGGTCCCCAGGGTGGGTTGGTGCAGGGGGACAGTGGGGACAGTGTGGCAGGAACAAGGCTCTTCCTGGGGGGTGTCCACTGGGTACCGGTGCTTTGGACGGAGCTGGCTGGAAGCGTGGTGGTTGGCTGTTTCAGTTGTTGTGGAAAACACTTCAAGTATTTTTTCCTGTGTTTTACTTGGTCAAAAGTGTTACACTTCGAGCTTCCCATCGCACTGGGAGGAATGTCTGCTGCCTCCCCTTTCCCTCTGCCCCTTCCTCCTGGGGGCAGGAGCACCCAGCGATGCTCGGTGATTTTTCTCTGCCGTATGTGCGTCTATACGATTGTAGTTATATTCTCTATAACTAATAAAGAGGTGTGTTGTGGGGGTCCTGCCCAGGTCCCCCCCCCCTTGCTGGGCTCCCCGAGGGGCTCCTGCCGGCCGTGGGGCGCGGGAGCAGCCGGGGCCGGGAACAAAAGCCGCCTGGTCCCCCGTGTGGTGCAGAGCATCCGAACAAAAGGTCCGCGTTCCCCCGCGCTCGTCTCTGTCTCTTGTCCCTCTCCCTCTCCTTTCTTCTCCCCCGTTCTCTGATAGAGACTGAAACAGCCCTTTTTCTGGTTTAAATTTCTCTGTGCTGCGACGAGAAACTAGCAATTAACTGTTATAAGGCTTTTTACAGTCCTGTGGAAACCCTTTCCATCCACTTTGTTTTAAATGGGTATATCTTTTATTCCTAGTTTTCGGCAGTGTAAAACTTTACAGCGTTTGCTGCGAACCTTCATACTTTGCTTCGCAGTTTATTGCTCCCTCTGCAGATATATCTCACTCATAAATAAGGCTTCCATCTCGCCAGTGCTTGACTGGGAACCACAATGCCTCTGAGCGGTTTCATTAATGGGACTTTGCCTAGAAATCGCGCCGTGATTCATCTCCGCCCTCGGTCTCTCCCTCACCCGACCACGCAGAGCTTGCCACGAGGGTGATCCGTGCCCCATCCGGCAAATGCCTGTGGCTGTGGGGAGGTGGGATTTGGCTCCGGGAGGTTTGGGTGCGAGCTGGGTTTGGGGGTTGAGCCTCGGAGCAGAGAACACACCGATCCCTGTGATCCCCCCGGGGATGAGTTGTCCCACCTCCTGTGCCGGTGCCACCGGGTGCGATGCCCTCGCTGGGCAGAGTGGTGGGAGCTGGGGGGCTCTGGGGAGCCGTCTGTCCTGATCCCCTCTCCCCAGCCACGCTTGCTGCCAGCACCAGCCTCTGCCTGTGGGGCTGGGGTGCATCGCGATGAAAAGCTGCTTTGGGGGCCGATACCTGCCAAGGGAGAAGGGCTTTCTCCAACACGTGCTCTCGGGGCCATGTCCCTCGTGGGTGTGAATCAGGCCCGGAGTTGGCAGAGCAGCAGCAGCTCCAGCCAGAGCTGTATGGACACGAGCTACGAGGACAGGCTGAGGGAGCTGGGGTTGTTCAGCCTGGAGAAGAGGAGGCTCCGGGGAGACCTAATAGCAGCCTTCCAGTACCTGAGGGGAGCCTACAGGAAGGCTGGGGAGAACCTGTTTAGAAAGGCCTGCAGTGACAGGACGAGGGGAAATGGCTTCAAGCTGGAGGGGAACAGATTTAGACTGGAGATGAGGAGAGGGTTCTTCACTGTGAGGGTGGTGGAGCACTGGAACAGGTTGCCCAGGGAGGTGGTTGAGGCCC